ATTCATCAATCGAAACTCGTAGAGTAGCGAAGCAAAATGGACGTATCGAAGGATCTCGTTTGGGGTTGTTTACTTTACGACTTCAAAGTGCGCTTATCAGCCGCTGCATGAAGTCGAAGAATATGTCAAGCGTTTGGGGATAGTGCTGCTAATGAACGTACGGCAAGGTCAGGAGATTTGTCCCTCTGTGATGAAGCTCGAACAGGACAACCACAAGCCTTGGATGACGAAGACCTGCAGGTGGCCATTGAGGAGGACAGTAGTCAAACGTGTGGTGAACTTGCCAGACAATTCAACACTTCCAATGAAACGGTTAGACTTCATCTGCACCACTTAGGTAAGATGTACAGGCTGAGCAAGTGGATTCCTCACACGCTGTTGGAAGTCCATAAGCAGTAACGAGAGGCAGCCTGTTTATCGTTGCTTTCTCGCCACCGTAGCGCATCTATATTCAATCGGGTGCTGAACAGTGACGAGAATTGGGTCCTGTATGACACACCCAAGCGTTCCAAACATTGGTTGTCATCCCCGGATACTGTCCCGCACAGCGCAAAACCAGCTATGCACCCTCGCAAGATTATGCTTTGTGTCTGGTGGACTTGTCGTGAAGTGGTTCACTATGAGCTGCTACCAACGGACTTAACGGTCACTGCGGACCTGTATTCGCAGCAATTGGAACGTGTACAACAGGCACTGCATCAGAAGGAGCCAGCACTGGTTAATCGATTATCACCTCTTCTATTCCCTGGAAAATCATCTTCACGGTAAATCCTTCACCAATGAAGCAGATGTGTGCCAAGCTCTCGCGGACTTCTTTGCGTCCCACACCCCCGGGTTTTACCGCAAGGGGATTTAACAACTGAGGACACGTTTGCAGAAGGTGCTGGATGTCGATGGTGATTACTTCGAGGACTAACAATAGGCTACGCTGCTTGTATGTCATTAAAAATGGCAAGAACTTTTTTGTTTACCTTGTACTATTCAAGTATCGATTACAAGCATTCTGAATTCAAGTATTGTAGATAAAACTGAACATCTCCATGTAGTACTAAACTACATTGTAGTAAACATATTTTAGTACTATATTATAGATATTTGAAAGTCGTGCAACAAAAAACTCAAAATTTTATAAAATTATCTCTATTTAAAACTGAAAAAAATTGAATTTTATGCACAAACATGGCACATTTTAGCTTAAGTTAGTATCATTATTATTTTGCTCATAAATGCTTTGGGTTTCAAAACGTTTCTGAAAATATTAAGTTAAGATTAAGCCGAATAACACGTAGCCGTAAAAAAATGCTTTTAATATCATGCAAAAGTATTTTTTGAATTTAAAAAATGTTTTCCGCCGTATTTAATTAAATTAGTTTTTTAATATAGAACACATGCACATTAGAAATATACATTAGAATATACACGGCGTATTGAGGTATGATACGTGAAGGGCAGATTTTCGACCCTAGCCTCCCCTCCCTAGCCCCTTGAAAAATTCCCGTGTACACAATTATAATTTATTCCAAGTCTTTAAACATTTTATCGAACTAATTGTTCTTATTAAAAATAATTGCAGCACTTACTTTTATTACATTGTTTTCTTTTCTTTTGAAGACTGAAAATAATAAGCTGTGAAACGTTTGCTTTCAATGCTTTTAAAACACTGTCTTAACAAAGTCGATATATAACACGATTATTCCTAAAATCATATTTATTCTTAAAGTGAACATACGCTCCAATTTTCCCTAACAACCTGCCTTTTATTTTCTATTCTTCACTATAAAATTATTTTCCCTTGCACACTATTAACGAAGTTCTATATAGGAGACAAGGCCGGCTTATCGCCTGTTCTGTCAAAAACCGGATTTCGTGGCAAAGAATGCGCAAGACGGAGTGCGTCATTTCCCTCTTCAGGCGCGAGCAGTCGTCAAGACTTTTAACGCATTACCATAAATTAGGAAAAGCCGCCCTCTTCTGTGGGTGCCAAAAGGCTTAGAAAGGGGCGCAAATTAGATTTGCACCCGATCGAAATCACGTCATATGTTATGGGGTCCGTCACTTTTATGTGTGCGCAATAAATTGCTTCCTCAATTGAATTGTTTCACCTTCCCCCATGCTGTTTGAGCATCAATTAGTGAAGGGGAGATAAACCCAGCATTCCAGCCTACTGGAGGACCCCAGGCCCCTTTTAGCGCTGGTGAATCCCTTGGAGTGCTTTATAACTCTTCTATAACTTCTTTACAAGCAACGTCAACGCTTTCTGTTGCAAGTTTTATTAGGGCTAAAATCAATTTTAAGTGCTAAAATCTGCTTACGTGTGTATTTTCTTCAAAAGTGACTGCGAAATAACATACAGTAAAAATCGTTAAACACGAAACTGAATATAATGAAATATTATTTCGTGATACACAATAATTTCGTGTTAAAGGATATTGTTAAAAAACACACCATATCTTAACTACATTAAATTTGTTATTTACTTTAACCACATAGATATGCATTTGTGAATGCGTTTGATAAAAATCAATGAAACAAAAACATTCACAATAAATTAAATAAATTTAATACAAAATTTTTGTTGAGCTTTGGGAAAATAATTTGATATTTCTCTTTGCATTGTTTCTCTTAGCATCAAATTCAAATTGTTGAATATCGTCCATTTTGTTATTCATTTCATCACTGGAATGTGCGTCTAAATAATTGCGCATACTTTTGATAACAATTTTCATTTCGAATGATGTGGGAACAGGAGATGCATTTCATTTCATTTTCGTCTTCCGTATATGCATCTTGGTGCGGTGTGGTGGTTAGGAGAGGGGGTACCAGCTCAGGTTTCATCTACGTCACTTGACCATGGTTCAAAATTACGTGGTCCGTCGCCAAAAGTCCTCGTGTAGCTGAACAGTGTGAAGTTAATATCCACTCAATCACTCACTCGAATCTGCATCTATGATATATTTTGAGCTTTGAACAAACTCCAAAATACATGTTTGCCATAATTGGGGTTGCACACACACATTATTATCATCAACTGCAATGAATTCTTCTAATAATACAATTGGACATTCCAATCCGGCTGGTGTTTTCCGTATTTTGTTCATTCTCACAAAATAAATCTTTATGTTAAGAGAAATAAATCCATGAAAATTCGTAGTAGTTTGCCGGGACCATTGTATTATTTTGTGTTAACCGATATTTCGTCTTAAGCGTTTTCGAGTTAAACGTATTTCACTGAACATGGACTGAAAAAGACAAATATGGAGTTGACAAGAATCATATGACTATATTTATTCTACAAATATTTCCATAAAATATAGGACTTTAGAATATTTTATCCGAGATTTCATTTGCGAAGTTTCAGCATTGCTTCAGTTTAAGGTTGCTTTTTTTTATATTAACAGTAGGTAAAAGAGGAAGTATTGTTGAAAAAGAAATCATACTCTTTCCATTACACTTGATGTTGGTTTATGTATTGATTATGTATTGGTCAAAATATCGTAATATTCATAGATTCTCAATCCGCAATTAAGACCGTAAGACTACAATCTATTCAAATCAAAACTCGAGTTCGAGTGCAAACAACTCATTAACTCATTTCTTGGCACTGGAAGAGAGGTTGTTCTCTAATGGATCCCATCCCATTGCGGCATTCATGGAAATGAACAAGCCAACGAGTTGGCCAAAGAGGCCTCGACGCTGCATCCATTTTGCCTTCCGATGCCTCTTCGAAACACCAAGCGACTTCTGACTGACAAATTTCGATAGAAAAGAGTTTCCACTATTACAGAGGACTCTTACTGTTAGCAAATCTTCGTCTCGTCTGATCTATGACCAAAGACGTGCTTAGCCTTCTGCTTTACCTATGGTAGAGGGTGTGGCAGGTTACACAGTCATCACCGGATATGTGATTACCTGAAAGTACATCTACTTAAGCTTGACCAGGCTGATTCCTCGCTCTCCCTCTTGCTAAAACAACATCTGCTTTACATTGGACTGCAAGACGTGTGACGAATCTGTACAGAACTTTTCCACTAATCTTCTTAGGCGTCTTTTTGGGGAATATAAATTCGTGTTTATTTCCAATCAACTCCAAAAAGATGTACGGGATATTTAAATTAGATAAGGTATTTAAGTCGAGCGTTGCGAGATAGCAAAAGAGATGATGGAAGGCTATTGAGCTAGTAACTTTAAACGCATTACTAGAAGATTCTAGTAGATTAGATTCGTGAAGAATTCGTGCTGCGAGACGTACCAGAAAACTGATATAAGCCAGCGGTAAATATAATTTATGTACGCTTAAAATAAGCGTCAGTTTAAGCGACTTAGTTAAAGTTAATGAAAGTTAAGAATTCGAATACGTGTATTTCTCGGATCTCCTATTTCGGTAAACCTTATTTGAGCTTGAGCTTAATTATTAATTAATTGCATTCTTAGTAATTTAATTTAATATAAAGGCAAATCCCTTTAAACGACGTAACATAATATTATTATATGTTATCAGAGATTTTTTTTGAGAAAAAATTATAATAATAAATAAATATTATTATTCGAAATGGCTCTTAGTGGTTCTTTGCCTCAAATTAATCTTGGTATTCAAGGTGAGACCCAAGGGGGTCAACACAGACGACGTATGTCCAAAAGGACGTTGATGGGCGCGCGCGAGTAATTTTTTAAAAAAATGCATTGATTCTAATTGGATTCTTGCTTTATATGTTGTTAGGAACAAGTTTTCACATGATAAAAAAATGTAGTTTTTGAGAATCAATACAGATTATGTCTCGTATTGATACGTTGCAGTGCCTTTCATCCTAGGATACATACAAAAGACGAGAGACAGATGAACAGAAACATAACATACAATCACAGAAGAATATATAATCTTATAGAATATATATTACAAATGATGATCCCAAGCATATAACAGAAGGAGTGTCCTGCTTTCCATTCGAGTTAGGAATCCATTTCCGGCGAAAGTCCGACTACTTTTCCCGAAGATATATCCATGCTTTAATCGGGATTTGAACCCGAGCCCACTCAATTACAAGCCGAGTGTCATAACCATCATACTGGATGCGGCGGCACCATGCGTCTCATACACTCGATTTAATATTATCGAAAAAAATATCTTGTGTTAATTTTGCCCTCTGTACATTAGAAATATCTTTTTTTATTTCAAAATGGTTAGCTTAAAAGAATTTACTATGTATAACTATAAGACAAAATTGAGTTTTTATTTCCTGGTAAAAAGTAGAGGAAAAAATGAATTAAAATAAATTATTGAAAACATTACAATCTGCTTGAAATACATTAAACAAATTCCGAAAAAAAAATGTGAATTTTTTAAGGGAAAACATATACAAAGATTGCTTTAAAAAGATTTTTTTGAAACAATGTGCAATGTCTAACGCGAAAACTACATCACAAGTAATGATGTGAAAAAATTAGTTACACTTCCTAATCCAATAATTTTTTTGGAAAATTGCTGAGATTTACATAAATAAAATTTATACAATTTTATAACAATTGAATCTTTATTTATTTAAGTGGCGAATATTTTGATAAAGATTTTATATATATTAAATCTTTTTCACTTGAGTTGGCGACTTTTATAGCATGAAAAGTCGCTATTTGGCGTCTAATGTTGGTTATAAGTTCAAAGTTAAAAAGTTGGGTAGGCACCCACCAGAAAACCCTATGAATAATGGACTGATACACTCTCAAGGGTCTTATTCTGTCTTTTTTTCTCCGACAACCATCTGACTTCTCTCCTAAATTTTTTTTACAACCTCCCAAAGGGTGTGATTCCCCCCTCCCCTTCAAGTCAGACTAACTCTACTCCTTTTTCGAGGATTTGGAAATAGTTCATAAGATAGGATACACATACTGAAAGATTCAAGGGACTTTGTGGTAAAAAAGTATTCAGCCTATGTTCTCGAATAGGTAAGTTACTTGTGTGCGGAATATATATAAATATTTGATGCAAAAAACTTGGAGCGGAAACAACGAAACTATATAAAAGTTAAAAAAAAGACTACATTTTCTCAAGGATAAATTTTGACACTTTAAAAAATAATGCTTGCAGGATATCCTGTGAATTTGTATATGTTACTGTTAAAGTGTATTATTCAGCTATGTCATAGAATAACTGGTATTTCATAAAATAACAAGACAAATCAGTTAAAGTGTATAACAGATGAACAATTTCATACTTTACCTAGTTATTCTATGAAATAACTGGGTATTCAAAGAATAAGCCGTTAAAGTGAAAAATAAACAATTTCAAAGATGCTTTATAAATTAATTTATTATAAATAGCTAAAATCTCTCAAAAATACATTTTATCCCTCTTGGGGATGAATAATTGATAAGTAATAAGAGATAACAGAGATGATATAATTTATTATATTGCTCCTACTGCTATTAGTTAAACAGAAAAAGAGGATATGTTGCAAAAATAGATTATATTTAAATATAATCAACAAAAATACATACTGGGAAGAAAAACTGTTGCTTCATAAAAACATTGTGTAAACTTTTTAAAACAAAAACGTAAGAGAATATTAATTAAAATTTTATGAGATACCTTTATTTTACTTTTCATTATTTATTAGAGCAATGATTGCTATGATGACACTTTGGATTGAACTGCGTATTACTTTTGAAGCAAGTATACTATTTCGTATTACACTTTTTTTACACGAGCACTTTTTAAATCCTTGTCCAGTACCACAAATTTGAGCTGTTGCAACGGATCGAAGCGTTGTGTCGATATTTGGTACTTCTTCAATGGAAATTAATTCTCGCTGGCATATACTGAACTGATATGTAAAGTACAATTGTTTTATCCCACCTAATCGGAAAAATTCTTACCAAAGTAGCTAGAGCCGGTTCAAAGAACTTTCGAGTGCCGTATTTCGTACTTTAACGATCAAGTAATCGTTATTCTATAGAATGCCTAGTTAAACCGTAGAATTCAACAGTTTTATACACTTTAATTGATTGATCTAGTTATTTCATGAAGTACTTAGTTTTTCTATGAAATAACGGATTTGACGTTTTAATGGTAACATATACATTTTTAAAATGCATATACAGTGAAATACGTTTGACGGGAAAACGCTTAAGACGAAATATCAATTAAAACGAAATACAGTTAAACCTGTTTTTGTGCGGTAAATAGGGACCACATAAAAATAAACGCACAAAAAAATTATTCGAAAATTTCATTAATTCTTACATATAACAAACTAATTCGTAGAAATACTACAATTTTTTTTATGCGGTGGATAAGGACCGCATAAAAAAGTCGCATTTAAAAATATGCCTATTATTTACGAAATTTATGTGTAAGAGTACTTCTCTATAACAAAATAAATAAGTAAATATTACACATGGAAACAATTTAAAAAATATTTTAGTTTCTCATTATGTGCAAGGAAAAGTTTTCAAAATGCTCGTACATAATCCACTGCTACTCATCGTAATCCAAACCGCTCATCTCCCTGTGATTAATAATTTCAAAATCACTTTCGTCACTTGAAGGTACAATTTGAAATTTTTTTTGGCAACATAAAGTAAGAGATACGTTTTTGCGGTCGGGATAAGTAAGAGATAAGGTCGGGTGGTCAATTGTTTGTAAATGTCACGATAACCGGATGTACATGATTGAAGTTCTTTTTGGAATTTTATACTCCATTCTTAATTAGTATCTATTTTAAGAAAATGCCTTTCCAATTTGCTGGAAAGCTGGATCCCTGTATATTTTTATCCACTCTCAAAGACTCCGATTCTTCTTGCCCGTCTTCATAATCTATCAAATTATTGATAATCTTACTCTGTCTTTGAAAGTTTCGTCTTCAATCAAGTGCGTACCGTAATTGCGTTACGAGAAAACAATGGAACGTGCATTGTCGAGAGAATGTTTATAATCAATGAACAGAGCGTCTTGAAGTGTACATATGTACACTGATAGAAAACATTACAGTGTCGCCAAAACCGTTGAAATTTAGACACCGTATAAGAAAAGAACCGCACAAAAATAATCGTACAAAAATAAAATCACACAAAACAAATAGCCCAAAAATAAAATCACATAAAAAAGGGCCGCACAAAAACAGGTTCTACTGTAATACGACAGTCCCGAAAAGCTACTAACCATTTTGATGCATTTTTTTTCTCTTAAGACGAAAATATTTCAATTCTGGGAATGAAGAAAATACGGAAAACATTAGGTACTTAATGAAATGTTTGAGAAAGTTTTTGTATTATTGCTCTGTCTTACTGTATCATCGGGATAATTCATTTTAGTAGATGATGATAATCTGTGTACAACCTCAATTATGGCAGACAAAGACATTTTGTTCAAAGCTCAAAAAATATCATGGATGCAGATTCCGACTCGAAAAGACAATGAATAATGCAGCTCCTATTCCCACGTCATCCGAAACGAGGAACATAAAAAAAAAGTATGCGTAGTTATTTGGACTTACGTTTCAATTGTGAAATGAATATAAAAAAAGGATGTCATTGAAGAATTTGTACACAATATGTTGCTAAAAAAGACACACAATACAAGGAAAATATCAGATTATTTTTCAAAAACTCTCTCTCAATAAATGTTTTTTTTTTCAAAAAACTTAAAAATTTTGTAGTAAATATTAAGTTTTTAGTGAATGTTTTCGTTTCGTTTATTTTCATTCAATAAATGCATATATACAAATCTGTGTCAATAAAATGTGCTCTAATAAATTTAATATTTTGGCTTACACGTTTGGTTTGGAATATCCTTTAACACGAAATTCTTTTAACCCTAAAAAAATATTTTAGTTTCTTGGTTTTGTGTTAAAATATTTTCATTTTATGTATCATTAAATATGTTTAAAACATATTTTATGCTTTTTCATTTTTATCATTCATTTATTTTGAGATCGGTTTCCTAAGACTAGACCTAAACTAACAAAAACTTCCAAAATCAATAGAGTTAAAATTGATTGTCATTTTAGGTACAATATGGATGCCATAGGCCATGGGATTAATTTATTTAGGTGACTGACTACATTTGGAAATGTAATTTAAAAAAAAAAGTGTAAAGGAATGTTGATATTTAGTATCAATTATAGTTAGACTATACGTATTATGGGGGTTTACCCATGCGATAAGTTCAAAAAATCAAAAAATTTATTTTTCATAAATTACTTCCTTAACATGTGTTAAAGTAATTTCTTAAAATTTGAAGCCACTATAAAGAAACAGGTGTTAGAAAAGCAGCAGTTCGGAACGCTAAGCTCAGATTTTCATTGTTTTAATCGAACTTGAAACTTTTTTTTAAGGTATCCGAACACGTTGAAAATACCCAAATTCGCACAAGACCGATGTTTTTGTTTTCTATTTTATTTAATGCATCTATATTTTGGCTTTACAAAACATACTTTGTTTTGATTCTATGCTTCTTAGAGGCCAAGTTACAATCAATTTTATTAAGTTAGAAAAACCGGAAGTGGGTTTTTGATCTACCAGAAGTGGGCATTTAAATTGTTCAAAATCCATCATGGCGAGTCTGATCACACAAGATATTATAAATGTATTTCTATAAAACTTTTTGCACCTGATATTTATGCTATTTTCTAGAGAATGTACTAAAATATTTCTTATAGTATGAATATTATTTGAGTTAGGGCATGTTATTTAAATAATGGTCTCATAAAGGCGTTATTTTTCTTATAACGTTTACTCAATCATCTCTAAAAGTTTCAAATTTTAATAAAACATTAAAATTTTAGTACATTCTCTAGAGAAATACCTCTAGATTGCTTTGGTAATTCTTTTACTAATATAAGTTTATTAATTTTTTCATCTAATTGCTTTGAAGTTTTACAAAAATATTGCTAAAATTTCACATATAATTGTGACTTTTATGAAATTCCGGCAATTTATTTTAAATATTATTGATTAAATATTAGTATTTATTGGTATTGAATCCTAAAAAAGCCTTTATATGTTTAAATATGTTATTTTGTCAAAAAGTACTCTGAACGTGTTCGGATACCTTAAACACGTTTCTCTCAAAACTTTTTT